AAGGAAGGAAGGAAGGAAGGAAGGAAGGAAGGAAGGAAGGAAGGAAGGAAGGAAGGAAGGAAGGAAGGAATCATAATGAAGGAAGGAAGCAATGAATTGGGGTTTGGCTGAGAGTCACCCAGCTGCCTTTCATGTCCAAGGCAGGACTAGAACTCACCGTCTCTTCGTGATTGGCCAAAAGTCACCCACATGGCTATGGTTTAAGGGTAACATGTATAAATATTTGAGTTAAAATACTTGAATTAATATGAATTATGCTTGATGACTGTGGAAGAGATGCACTTTTGTAACCAACTGATACACTTTCTGCAGTATGTAAAGAAGGAAGATTTTATGTCTTGTGTTTGTTTTGAAAATAAAAATGAACTCTATTTTTTTTAAAAAATGGCTGTAACATGGCACAATTGCAACAAATTTCCAGCTCTTGAAACCATCACAAGATTCCTCTTCAGCAACTGGTGTGTTATTGTCAGGTCTGCAGCCATCTTTTCTTTGGCCGGTCATACTTTCTATTATTCTACTATGTATTTTCTGTTGTGGGAAAATGGGAGGGGGGATTGTATGGGGTTAGATGATATGTAGCCATAACAACATTCTTTCTAGAAAGCCAAGGTCATCTTTTGTCTTTGCACCTCTGCACCTGACCGGAACTAGATGGGAGGAAGCTGCCAGCGTGGCAGTGGGAGATTGGACCATGGGATGGACTTGTAGGTGGGGGAGAAAAGATCTTGAACTTTCAACTGGGTGGGGGAAACCAGGAAGCTTTCAGATTCGGGTTTTCCCAGATGTGCCAACATGTCTCTCTTCATCAATTGGAACTTTGGGGAATCCTTTCCCTTGGACTCTGATTTAATTTTGGATGCTATTAGGAACCCTGACAGTTATGCTATATTAGCAAAATTCAGTTAGCCACTGCCTCGCTCAGTAACAAACATTTTTGGCCTCAGTTGTGGTCGTACGTCAAGGACTATCTGTATTACACACTGGCTGCGGTGTTGTGCACCCCGCTGGGGCGCAGCCATTCAAAACCAGGTGGACGTGGGCGAAGGAGAATTTTTCAAGAGGCAACTGGACTTTTTGATTTTTATTTTCGTTTGAAGACATTTCGCTTCTCCTCCAAGAAGCTTCTTCGGTTCCGACTGGATGGTGGGGAAGGGAAGGATTGATACTCCTTGCAGACAAAGCTGGTCAGTTGAATCCTTTTAGAGGGTCGCTGAGGCTGCTTGGAGGTTTGTCTGTGTCTTCAGAATCACTCCAGTGGTTCAAATGGGTGTGTGGAGCCTTCTGGGAACTGGTGAAAGGACCATGTTGTGGACAGGAGATAGATAGATGCCCAATGAACAGATCTGCCCAGGGCTCACTGCATTCTAGTGCGTGTGAGTTATGTGGTAGTAGATGCAGTGCAATGCAGTGAGCCCTGGGCAGATCTGTTCATTGGGGAAACAAAACAGCCACTTCGCAGGTGCATGGCACAACATAGGAGGACAAACCCATCAGGTCTCGCTAGATTCAGCTGTCCCATCTGCATTTCAAAGACAACAGCCACACTTTTGAAGACAGCAAAGTCCACATTCTGGACAGAGGGGACCGCTGGTTTGAAAGCGGGGTCAAAGAGGCCATCTATCTCCAAATTGAACAGCCCTCTCTTAACGGATGGGGAGGGATACGACCTCATCTATCTCCAGTCTACAACACACGAGTCCTTTCAGCCTCCAAGTGGACTCAACGACTCTCTGAAAGGATGCAAATGACCAGCTGTCTGCAAGGAATATGAATCCTGAGGGTCACCTGAGGACACAGATAAACCTCCAAGTGGCCTCAATGACCCTCTAAAAGGATGCAAATGACCAGCTGTCTGTAAGGAATATGAATCCTGAGGGTCACCTGGGGACACAGATAAACCTCAAAGTGGCCTCAATGACCCTCTAAAAGGATGCAAATGACCAGCTGCCTGCAAGGAATATGAATCCTGAGGGTCACCTGAGGACACAGATAAACCTCCAAGTGGCCTCAATGACCCTCTAAAAAGGATGCAAATGACCAGCTGTCTGCAAGGAATATG